AGGAGGAGAGGAGGAAGATTTCCACGGGTTCAAATTGCCCCCTGAGAAGCAGAGTGTATTCTGGGAACAAGGGGTGGAACAGCAAAGACAGAAAGGAAGGCAAAGACACAGCTTTATCTGCTTTCTTACTAAAATCTAGGAAATAGGGGCAGGAGCAGGTCATTTTGGAATAATTGCAACTAGATGGAAATTACTGGCAATTTATACTACAGTGGTCTTAGTAAACAGATTTTCATAGCTAAATTCTTATAAAGTCAATTTCCCTCTGTATTTTACTTTCTCAATGCCCAAGCGGCTGCTCAATAAAAAGTTTATATTCTATGAATAAAGCCTATATGATTCAATTTGTCCACTATTTACTACTTAACCTCTTTTAAGTTTCAAGTAAGCCTATATCTATAAAATTGGAAAAAGGAATTTTAACTCACAGAGTTGTGTATATATAGCACATATATTAGGTGTTTGGTTAGAGCCTGGTGCCTAATGAGCACTTAATAAAAGGTAGCTTTTGCCATATCCCCTCAGACATCTTTTATTTTCCTCCATATATTAAGATCCATAAAACCAGAATACACCTATAACCAAAGTATACATTCACTGGTGTGCCTTATATTTATTTTCCCTTTTTAGAAAACACTAAATTCAGAGATTGTGTGTTTCCTAATCACTGTATTTTCAAATTATCAAACATTGATGAATAATTTTTTTTTTTTTTTTTTTAAGACAGTCTTGCTCTGTCTTCCTACATAAAGTGCTGTGGCGTCATCAGAGCTCACTGCAACCTCAAACTCCTGGGCTCAAGCCATCCTCCTGCCTCAGCCTCCCAAGTAGCTGGGAAGACAGGCCACACCAGGACTCCTGGCTAATTATTCTATTTTTAGTAGAGACAGGTCTCGCTCTTGCTTGGGCTGGTCTCAAACTCCTGAGGTCAAGCGATCCTCCTGTCTCAGCCTCCCAGAGTGCTAGGAATACAGGCGTGAGCCACTGCACCTGGCCAAATTTTTAAAGAATAAATAAATGACTGAATAATAATCAAGGAATTAAGATGTCGTTGCAAAGAGGCATAAAGGCCCCAATCCCAATTAGTTTATAAAGTCTATCAAGAGAAGTAACTTAAGGACAAAGCAAAGGTTGACCTTCCAAGACCATAACTGATCTAAGATTTTTTGTTTATTTATAACCCATCTTGTTCAGAGGAGGATTGAAGATGGCTTAAAAAGATAAAAATAAATGAGAAGTATACAAGAATTCTGAGGGAGAGAGAAACAACCACCAAAGTATGGACCTACAATGATGCCAGGAAAGAATCACATAAATAAAATTCCTGCTATAAATGTTATAGAAATCCAAAGAAAAAGACAATTCCTGGGGTTTAGATGTCAAAAAACATTCAGGAGATAGAAATGGGGCTGTTGATGAAGTATTTAGTTCAAAAGAAAGTGGAGATTTGGTGTCTCTGTAGCAAGTCATAACTGTGTCAGAGTTTCCCCTGGGGGGAAAATCAGGCTTTTTGGTGGGCAGGTAGTTTGGGTGAAGATGATGACTGAAGAATCCCAAGGGCTTAGGCTCCTCGGAAGCCTCCCTTATTTTGGACTTCACCAGTTATCTCATTTTCATAATAAGGTCTGCACTTTCTCTACTTGCTTCACTTCTATCAGCAGGTACAGGGAAAAGATAAGTACATTTCACCTTTTAAGGGAGGGGATTGCAGGTACAGTCTGCAGGAGATGTTTATTACAAAAATAAAGCCCGGGTGCAGCGGTTCATGTCTGTGATCCCAGTATTTTGGATCACTTGAGGGCAAAAGTTCAAGGCCAGCCTGGGCAACACAGCAAGATCTCATTTCTAAAAAAATTTTTTTTAAATATTAGCTGAGCAAAGTAGCCATGCCTGTAGTCCTTCCTATGCGGGAGGATGGATTGAGTCCGGGA